CAACAGCCAATGAGGTGAAAAAATGATTCCAAAAAGAGCTAAGGGCATCACGAAAGACACCATCGCCTTGTTCTTCTTCCTCTCTGCCATTGTAGCCAATAAGAGTAATGCTGAGATAACTATTCAAGATCACTTTTTCTTTAAATGTTAGGATCATATCGTCTCTAAGAAGAGATCTTCTCCATACAACTGGGTGAAGAGGGCCCTCTTTTATATTGCGTGCCCAATCCTCTACCATAAATAGACTGCCGTGGAAAAGAGTATCTATGAAAAAATAGCAAAACCAAAATTTGTAAAGAATATGAAACCATCATAAAGACTAATATGCATAAGTCGTATATCATCGTAATTGTCATATTTATGTGACATATATGGAATTATGGTGACATTTATTTTGCTCTGATTGGCCATTGACAATTACGACTACATAAAAACTAACTTTCAACTCACAAACATACCACAAACATTTTCCATTTCTGTTGAAATTAACGTCAAACTTTCATTTTCATTCTCTTCCAACAAAGTACTACCTGTATGTGAATGCAATTAATCTATGAATTTCTGACAATTTAGCACAGGAAGTGATTTATTAAACAAGTGTAATTTAAAAAGTGCAGAAAGTACTAAACTTCAATGGGCTACGTGAATCTTTTATGAATGAAAAATCTCGGCAAACTGGCAAAATATGCTAAGCAAACGAGCAACCCAGTAATCAGCATTACCATTTGACCTTTGCTGCATATGCTGTGTTAGTTTTGAGAAAAAAGAAACAAAAAAAAAATGGTTAGAGATTGTTTCACAACACAAAAAACAGGTTTTTACCAGCAATAATTAATTTCTAGAGCCCCTGAGCATCCTTGCTGCAATGCTCGGTTTGTAATTATTTTGAACAACAGATCCATGCACAAAACTGTAATAAATATGTAATAACATACTTTCAGGCATTTCAATGACTTCACTTGAATTATATGAATATTCAACTTCATTGATCATGTTTGACTCTTCGATTAAATCACCAATGTTTGACTCTCCACTTTTTGTGCTCTTTTGAGTAGTGGTGCACATACTTGACTCCAAACTAACTCCTTCCTCTGCAATATTGCTGAAGACTGATTCCCTTGATTCCACACAAGACATGTTTGTGTTTGACTCTTCAGGGATACTACTTAAACCTGACTGTGCACTTAAGTTGCTGATATTTGCTTCTTGAGTAATACCATGAGCACTCGACACTTCAACTATAGTTTCCAAATTGTTGGCATTCTGCAAGCTCAAATCATCATCACGAATTTTAGTCAAGCACTGTGCAAAAGAAAAAAACATTATCTTACAGCAAAAAATTTATTTATGGCTGTATAAAACGTAATGATGATAACATTTGAGGGCAAACACACATACTGCTGGAAGTTTGGGAGCAAACACATTTTGGGTTAACCATACCAAAATTAGCAGTACATGATAATCATAAAAAATTGAGACAGACTACCAAATAATGCCAATGAGGCTGTAGTTTGGTTTAATTTTCTATCTCCTAAAGTGCAAAAGGCATACTCTTCGTTAGGGTGAAAACCTTCACATAATTACAATAATTTGATGGTGAATTATTACCTCATCAACAATATTAAGATCAGAGTCACTATTGACTTTACAGCAATGAGATGGCTTGCACAAAAATTTTAAGTATTCATCAGTTCTACACACGTGAAAAGTAAGGCGGGAATACTGTCTTCCAATCTCTTTCTTGTATCTTTCCAAGGTAAACGGTTCACTACTTCCAGGCAAGTTGCAGACTCTGGTACGATCTGGATATAAAAGAGTAAATCCAAAAGGTTCACCAGATACTTCACTGTCAAATTTCACAATTTTCTCAGAGGCTTTCTCGAGTAATTCTTTTGCGCCAATCGTTGGGGCAACAATCAAAGGTAACGTACTTCCTCGAACAAATTTTAGATCGTCTTCACGAAATCTTCTCAATCCAACATTGATATTCACTTCGCTGGGTGTTTTATCTTTTGTCTCATTATGTTTTGCTCTTTTAGCTTTGGGACGAAATCTTATGGTTCTTTCTTGCTCCTTTCGTTTCCTGTACTCTTTGAAAGACACAGGAGTACAAGATTGGCCAACTGTGGTTGTGCTCGCCGTTGATATAGTCAGATTTGAGTCAAACGAATCACAAGCATTAGATGGAACATTTGTACCTTGATTTTTGTTGATATTCTTTATCGGACAAGCTGCTGAGTTACTTATGTCTCCAGACGTATTATGACCACAGAGGTGGGAAAATTTTGCTTGTAAAAACAACAAACAACTGCACTGACTACAAAACATCATATTCCCTCAAATCTCGACCTTATAATATCATTATAAGGCGATATGCCATGCGCCAATTGAAATAATAAATACAGTGCTTCCACGATTTAAATGTTTGCTTCCACATTTAAAAGTTTGCATCCACGATTTAAATGTTTGCTTCCACGATTTAAATGTTTGCCACCACATATTATATTTGCTGATGTCCCTTACGGGCCATCGTATCATTTACAATGAAGACTTGCCTTTACATTTTTGGTTGATTTTCAAATTAAGTAGATTAACAAGAAAACTGGATGCTTTTAGGAAAGCTTTAAATAACATAAGCGTTCTATATGTACACTTACTGCATGCTCTAGAGGAAAGGGTGAGTTTTGCTCGTAATTATTGCATGCAAGGCTCAAGGAATAAAACTCGATATTTCCAATATGGAGCATACATTGGCTAAGTATATTAGCATACAGGAACCAACACCTTGAATTTAAACAATTTTCTAATAAGATCAATGTCCTTCTGTGCAGTCTTACGTACGTTAAAAGTTCATAGCAAAATGCTACGATATGAGCACGAATTTTTGTTGAATCTCCAAGAGTTTTCACATCTTTTTCCTATTCCCTTTAACTTTCGCCTTAAGAAAAGTTTTTTTTTATTTTTTAGCTCCATAGCTGTTTGTTTGTTGTGATATAAAAACGAGTGAGGAGCAATTTTTCATCTGTTTCCCTAAAAGGAACCATTGAATTTATTTTATGCGATGTAATTTACAAGTAACTAATCACATTTAACATAGACTGCACCTACAAACAAAACAAACAAACAAACAACATTTGTATTCCGGCCAGTATTAATCCCCGCCAAGGGGGTTGACCGGTCCATGAACTTTTCTACGCCAAACGTCTCTATCTCTCGCCATATCTCTCGTTATACCCATCGCCTTCATATCACTGTTCACAGCATCCATCCATGTCTTTCTCGGTCTACCTCGTTTGTGGATTCCATCAACCTTCATATGCAACGTTCTACGAATTTCAGCACTTTCTTCCCTCCTTTCCACATGCCCAAACCACCTCAAACGCTGGCGCCTTACTCAATTCTCGATACACTCAACACCAACCCTTTCTCTTATCTCTTCACTTCGAATCCTATCCATCAACGTTACACCACACATCATCCTAAGCATTCTCCTTTCCGTCGACGCCAATCTTGTCAGGTCCTCTGCTTTCGGCGCCCAACATTCTGCTCCATATCCCAAAACACTTCTAACACAGGCCTTATACAATTCTCCCTTCTGTTTCAACGAAATCGACTTTCCGCACAACATTCCCGACAACTCTCTAAAACTCCACCACGCTGATTGAACTCTGTTCCTCACCGCTTGCTCGCACCCTCCACCATCATTTAACACATCGCCCAGATATTTAAACTTCTATACACCTTCCAAACTCACGTCACCCAGTTCAAACCGTTCAATCGCGACTCGCCCACCACTTCGACACGTCCCGCATTCAAAATCAGTTACTCTTGTCAATGCACCACGGACACCTGAACATCTTCCATGAACCCACTTACTGCATTTCCTACACATTATCGAATTCACTCCAACTCTTTTCCCACACACACCACATGGCCATTTATCACTGTCCTTCACATCCACCTGCCAGGAGCTTCTCATGCCCTTCGTCTTTGCCTCATTCACTTTCATTCCCTTGACTTCTATTGCCGTTTTCCATTCTCGGTACCATTCCATGACTTTCTGCTTCGACTCCGCCACTAAGACAATGTCATCTTCATACAACAAACACCAGCATCCTTCTTTTCTTCTCACTTCCTCTGTCAGTACATCCACCACACAAGCAAACAGTAACGGCGACAAAACTGAACCTTCATGAACACCAACTTTTACCTCAAAAACACCAGATCTAACACCTTCATCCATAACCACCGTCTCTACACCTTCATAAGTCTCCATAACTGCCCGAACCATATTCTCTGTCACACCTTTTTTACGCAGCGCGTACTCGATCACCTTTCTCGGAACTCTATCAAACGCCTTCTCCAAATCTACAAACACCATATACAATACTCTGTCCTTCTCCAAAGATTTCTCCTGCAGCTGCCTTAACACAAAACACGCATCCGTCTTTCCTCTCCCCGGTATGAATCCATACTGCTTTCCCCCATCCGAACAACTTCCCTCAAAATTCTTTCAAACACTCTCTCTACTATCTTCAACGCATGCTCCATCAGCTTAATAGTCCTGTAATTCCCACATACTGTCGCTGCTCCTTTTCCTTTGTACAGCGGGACCACTAGACTCTTTCTCCATGTACTCGGCATCTTTGAGCCCCTCAAAACCTCGTTCGCATTACACAACTCTCTCCGCATAGTTCATTGTCCAACATTTCACCCACTTCACTCGGTCCCGTCGCCTTCCTTTCTTCATCTTGCGCAGCCGCCGCCACCTCATCAACAGTCACTGTTTCCCACGGCCCCAAAACTTCATCCGCTTCAACTTCTCCATTCCACTCATTCTCTACATTCATCAAACGGTCACAGTACGCCCTCCACACTTTACCCTGTCTTCCACACCTTCACCTCCCCATCGTGGTTCTGCACGCCGGAGCACCAAAATATCGTTCCTCTCTTCCGAAACAACGCTTTGTCCATTCTCCCATTTTAGTCTTGATGCCTTTCTATCGCTTTAGCCACCTCCTTTCGCAACCGGATGTAATCGATCCTATCTGCTTCAGTCCGCGACTTTCTCCACCTTTTAAATGCCAACTTCTTCGCCAATCGCTGACTCGTTGATCCCACCACCATGCCTGTTCTTTTACTACACCGCCTTTACTTCTACAACATACCTTCTCCGCTGCCTTTAAAACACCCTTCTCCAAGCACGTCCATCGCTCCTCCACCGTCTCATCCTCAACATTCAATGTCGCAATTTCGTCACGGAAACACTGCTTCCCTTCATTCGATCGTACATTCCCTAGCTTAAGCTTACCTTTACCCTCAACCTTTCTCCTCTTCACCTTCTTCATTCTCCAGTCCATGACCAGCAGCTTGTGCTGGGTCACACATTCTTCTCCTGCAATCACTTTTGCATCCTTCATGTTTTTCCTCTGTTCTTCATTCACCAGTATATAATCCACCACCGTCCTACTGTCACCAGATTCATACGTCACAAGCTTGCTTTCTTCCTTTATAAACCACGTATTCACTACCACCATCTCACAACTCGCTGCTAACTCCAATATCGCCTCGCCTTCAGCATTCATATCACCAACTCCAAAACCTCCATGCGCACAGTATCCTTTTCTTACGCTTCCCACATGACCGTTCCAATCACCAAGCATCACACATCGCCCTCTAATGTCTGCTCTCACTGCATACACGCTGTCGTAGAACTTTTCCTTCTCCTCCGCACTTCGTCCAACCTGCAGAGCATACACCACAATGAAACTCTCAACTTCGGCCTCAATAACTACATCAACTCTCAGGACTCTGTCCGAAACTCTCTTCACTGCTACAACCAACTTCGCCCAATCATACGGTGGCCGGTATGTGCCACAGCTTCTGCGTAGAAATATTGTAGCTGTTGCATACAAATCAAGTTTCTACGTACAAACCCGAGTGTTCTCCGTACAAATATAATGTTGCTCCATGGAAAACGAACTGCTCCACACAAATGTTAACCTTCTGCTTGTTGAAATGCTACTTCTCCACACTTAAAGAAAGGTTACTACGAGCAAATAATCCCTTCTCCACGCTGAAATTATCTTTCTCTATACAAATAAACATACCGAACACTCTCTTACCCCCTGGCAAAAATAACACACGTGCACACACTCAAAGTCGGGGGGGGGGGTAACCGAACTCAAAACAAACTCCTACTACACCATAACGAGCAACAAGCGAATGAAACCATGAAGTTGTGTATACAATGCGGAGAACATGTTGAAGATAAGTAGAACTTTTGTCCGAGCTGTGGAAAGAAACTATTTAATAGTAAGTTTTAAATAACATGTGTAGCAGAAATCCGAGAACATTTTGCTTAATCGTAAAGTTTATTTGCAATATATCAATCTTTGACTTTGTGTTGCACGTGTTCGTTCTAACGGAATTATATTAAAGTTTTATCCCTCCAAATATAATTATGAAGCTTGAATTATTATGTTTCAGGTTTGTCAGAGATAAAGCAATATAGTTGCAATGCATCCACGCCTGAAGCACACGCAAAAGCTCGGGCAATTACTTTTGAAGAATTTAAACAAGCGAAAGCAACTAACAGGGTAAAAACCTTACCATCAAGGGGAAAAAAAGCAACTTTGCGTGGAAGAGTGAAAATACAGATCGGGATAAAACAGTACGACAAAGATGTTTCCTTAAAAGCCCTAAAAGGAAGAACCCTTCCCCTAACAGTTGATGCTGACATTGATGCACGGCAGTTGTTACAAGAAGCGATAACTAAACATTCGAAACATTTTCGAACATTTAGTTGTAGGAAGAAGTATCACTTATTATACCCGGATAACACAGAAGTGAAGCGTCTACGGTCATCTCATAACTTGTTCACACTACAAAAATATAAAGAGGAGTTGGGTAAGCCATTTTCAAGAATATATCTTTATTTGTGTGCGCATGAATGTGTGGGAAGGGCTGAAATGCATGAGCTTGGACTAAGCAGCGATGATGATCAAATGGAAGCCATATTTTCAACTCCATCTTTTGGCAGTCCTTCCAATATATCTTGTCATAGTACCCAATCTATTAGTCCTATTGCCCCATCAACCAGTACTGATCCCAAGTGTAATATTTCTATTGCTCCATCAACTAGTACTGATGCCAAGTGTGTTATTCCTTCCTATCCACCACTATCGTCTGTGGTTTCAAGTCGAGCTGAACCACCATCTGATATCCAGGCCCTAGACAATGTAATATTAGTTGAAATTCATGAGACTCATGATTTAAACAAAGATAGGCATTGTCCAACATTACCTATAAGGAAAACAACCCAGCCCAGTATTTTGCTATTCCTTGCACAAGATGGTGGTAATAATAGCAAAAAAATTCCATGCCCAGTTTGTTTTGAAAGATTCGATAAAAATGAAATTGCAAGCCATGCAGATGAATGTGCAGAAAGATTTGACCCTATTGGTAGAGTTTCTGATAGTGAGAAAGATGATGGTAATGTAGAGAATAATAACGTAGATGCATCTGGAGAAAAAGTTGTGTCCATTGTGAATCCCCCTATTGCACAAATTAAAGATCTCATTTCATCCAAGCTATGTCCAAATATTGACAAAAGTCACCCAAATAAAGTTAATGTCAGGAGAATGTATGCATTTGAAGATTACGTGGAGAAACGTAGAAAACAAAGGCAAAAACAACAATTTAGAGAAGATTCACTCTTAAAAGTGACTTTCTTTGGAGAACCTGCGGTGGATGAGGGTGGTCCCTTGCGAGAATTTTTTACAGGTAAACTAAATACTTGCATTGCGTGCATGTTTCTATATTCCATAGCCTGCATGTGTCCAGAGACCATATTTATTCGTGTAAGGGGAGGCAGCGCTTGATTGCCTAGCTTTAACAACCTGTTTTATGTTGTTCAAATTTTAACGAAGGATTGGTGCAGCAAATTACAGATCCTATGTATTTTTCATGATGTTTACTTTAAATCAAGCCAGGGCCTTATTTTGCATTTTCATTACAGAATCACTTCATCAGATGAGAAGAAAGTTATTTCTTAATGGTGTCCCTTGTGCCAATATGAGTGCTTTGGCAAAAGAAGAATTTAAAGTTGCTGGAGAACTGATGAGCATGACCATTGTACTAGGTGGACCTGCTCCTTGCTTTCTTAAAAAACATATATACAGGTATATTGCAAAAGGCATTGACAATGTGACTGCTGACATTGCAGACGATGTTGTGGAAGATCTGCATCTGAAAGATGTCATTGAAAAAGTATACGATATCTGTATCCATTTGAGTCCTTAACAGTTATACCTATGTACTTTTTACATTTCCAAACAGGTATGTTTTTGAATTAATCCAGTTAAAAAGTTTTGATGATGACGATTCATTCCAGTCAGCATTGATGACAGATAATGTTTTTGAAATTTTGGACAAGATTGGTTACAGAGGGGTACCAACCCGAGAGAAATTATCTTCCAGAGATTCTATTATAAGGTATTTTGTTTATTAGCTATCTGAATAGTTCTAGCAACATATTTACATAGTCTAGATGTGCTACTAAGTAACATATATAGCATGGCTGCTGGTAACAATTGTTCCAATGTTGTTGTTATCAATAGACAATGTTTATTGTCTGATATATGTATATTTTCTAGTAGTGTTGCTGTTTATTTTAGATCTATTGTTGTGTTTGAGTTCAGTAAGTTGATGCCTATGTTAAACCAAATTATCGATGGCCTTCGCTGCTTTGGTACATATGATTTAATAAAAGAATGCCCAGACTTTTTAGAACCTGTCTTTGTGCAGAGTGGTTGTTTCTCGTTGACACCAGAAGAATTTCTTGAAGACATCAAAGGAGAATTCAGTGAGAATGGTTCAAATTACAAACAGCAGGAAATAAACATCTTTAAATATTTTCATGATTATGTGGAGGAAAAAAGTGAAGAGACAGGTAATGTTGTCAATCACTGTATAAAATACTTCAAGTACAAGCAAATTAATGCTTAGCGTTTTCTGTGATTTCATGAACTGGTGTTAACTTTTGTTACAGGTGAGGATCAATTTTCATTACCTGCACTACTGCAATTCATAACCGGGTCAAGGAGTGTACCTCCTTTAGGTTTTCCCCACAAAATTCAAGCATGGCTGCCAAGATGGGTGTAAATGTAGACCTGTTGCTTCAACATGTGACTTTAGCTTAACTTTACCTGTACACTACCAGCAACTGGAATTTAATTGTGTGATGAGTTCAGCAATGATTGAGTGTGCTGGATTTGGAAGAATTTAGAAGTGGTACACTAGAACAGTTCAACTATTACAAAACCTATTGTACGTACATTGACAAAAATAAGATGTAGTACATTTATGTTATTTTTGTTGTGCAATGATACATTATTAAGAGGCAACATCCATTAGCTTTTGAAATAGATTGAAAGCCTCTTCTGGGCTTGTGGGATATTGAGTGCCTTCACTTTCCATTAAATGATGAAAATATTGCTGATAATCGTCTTCATAGTTCTGATTTTCATCATCAACTTTCAGTTCTATCTCAGCAATTTGAGCTTCTGACACTGTGCAAATTGTTTATACCTCCAGAACGTTCTGGCAAATAAAATAGTACATCTGGCTGTCCAGAAACACTATCATGCCTTAATGGGCGGATAAGATGTGAGTTTCAGCTGGCTTTAACTTTCTGAAGGTCATCATTCAGTACAGCATGAAAACAAAACCAAAGGCATTCCCTTTCAAGGTGATTGCTTATATTTAGCACACCAGAGTTACACATATCTTTAAAGAAATTTATCCACCAATGGGTTCTCATCCTTCGCAAATGAGACCACCAGTTTTCAATTCGTTGATTTCCAGTAGATGTACCATACTGATGTGCTTTTTCTGCACAATATTCATCATCGCCATTAGCTCTAAAAAAACACTGCATTGCTGCCATTGTTCCATTTTCAGTTCCACAATCTGTTCTGAGCAAAGCTGGGCAACCTTTTAACTGCTTAACAAACTCAAAATATAACTGTGCAGGAGTAGCTGGCAAATTGTTGGATTTCACAACTTCTAACCATAGTACTTTCCGAATGTATCCATCAACTGCACCATGCACAGGGAAGCCAAAGGGCTTAAGCTTGTCATAACCTTTCACAAATAAAAATAGATATGTACTGCTTCAAAACTATCAAAAAGACACTTCCTGATAAATATTTTTTGAATGCACACCAGACATTGCACTGATTTTATTTAGTGGAGGGGGATTATGTACACATCTACGTGAATTTTTATTGCCAGCAAACAAACAAAAGTGGGGAAATGTCAATTAATATAAATCTCTTAGACTAATCATTTAGCAGTCATTTTCTATTTGTATTTCTACTATTATATATTTCTTAACACCATTTTTCTCTTACCATCTGCATGCCAGCAGTGATTTGGTCCAGGTGACAAATATATTCTTCTCTTCAACTTTTTTGCTTTTCTTGCTTCACTTGCTGCAGGGTTAAGTTCATACAAAATTCTGCAAACCATTTCTCGGGGTGCATGTACATTATATACTATCCTCAAAGCATGCCAAATGGTCCTGTATCCTGACTGTTCTCCTGCATTTGCCATCTCTATTTTAACCAGTTCTCTTACATATGCTTCATCAACAGATACATTCTTTCGCTTCAGATTATACTCTCTTAGTCGCCTATTGAGTGTTCTAAGACTCATAGATACTCCATGATGCTTTGTCAAGAAGTCAAGAATAACATCATAGGTATAGCCACAGTTGAAGTAAAAAGCAATGGCTTCTCTTGTCTGATCTACAGCAGGTTGGTTTGCAGCTGCAAAATTAAGAAATACATACTATTTAAATTTTATGTTATTCAAAACTTTCAACAAAATAAAGAGATAGTAACCATAAATTGTACATAGACAATACAATAATGTGAAATTTGTTTTATATATATGTATAAGACTAATAAAGACACCTATCATTTAGTTGAAACATAGACATTAAGTAGTAAGATCCAAATGATTAAAATCGTTACGATTTGTACAAACCCACAAGCTGATGTCCACATTCGTCGCAAAATCTATAATCGTTTCGACATATGTTA